TTTTATCATTATGCTTGTCATCATTCTCACAACAACCATCCTCAGTGACAAGGATCAAAAAGTGATTCGGTCTGCTATGGATAAACTCGCAGGTCCGGGCAACTGGAGTGTGGATTTAGGAGATGTTGACAAAGTACTCCGGGTGCAACTGAACTGTAGTATGCTGCTTGGGTTGTTGCATCTATTGGACCGGTATCAGTTTGAATACCAGGTGCTAAACATCTATGATTCTTTTTTAGGCATAGATTATCCTTTATTAATGGAAGAAGATCAATAACGATTGGTAGTGCCGTGATTTATAATCCGACGCTACCAGGGCTGCCGTTTGCAACGGCATTTTAACGGGGGTGTTCGAGGTATATATCGGGGTGTTCGAGGTATATTACCTCGAACACATTAATAATCTGCCGTTTGTAACGGCAGTCAACTATAATTGGCCGATTCCTGGCTGCCGTTGCAAACGGCAGTTTATTGTAAGTTCGAAGTGATCCTTACGGAACACATCGAACAACGTCCAGTTTATTGCAAGTTCGAAGTGATCCTTACGGAACACATGGAACAACGTCAGTTGAATCAAATAACAATCCTTTATTTTGAAAAAAAATGGTTGACATTTGAGTTAGACGAGGATACCAATCATTAATCAATAAAACTAAAATTTTCAGGTAATGGTACAATTAGCCTATACTATTCTTTACGTTCAGGACGTAGCCGCAACGGTCAGCTTTTATGAAAAGGCCTTTGGTCTATCTACAAAGTTCATCACCCCGGATAACGACTATGCCGAAATGGTTACCGGCGCTACAACACTTTCCTTTGCAGCAACAACTTTTGCAAAGTCCAATCTTAAAGACGGATTTATAGAAAGCAATCTGGCAAATAAGCCCTTTGCTACTGAGATTGGATTTACCACGGACAATGTGGAAGAAACGGTTCGGGGCGCGGTTGATGCGGGTGCCACCATCGTTGAACAACCTGCGGCAAAACCCTGGGGACAGACCGTTGCGTACGTAAGAGATCTTGATGGTTTCCTGGTGGAGATCTGTACGCCGATGGGCTAACACAATAATATTAAAAACATAAAGGCTGTGCCGCGATTTTAAATCCGGCGCAGCCTTTATTATAACAGTACTTACAGAAAACGTAGTTTTTCTTCTTCGAGATCCAGATGCTGCAGATGCTTACGGATAATTTCTTCATCCAGAAATGTTTCATCCTTATTCCTGTCCAGCAGCCATTGCCGTTGCTGGCTGAGTATGTCAAGATAGACTACTCTACATTCTTCAGCCATTAGTTCGTCATCGGCGATCACGCTTTTATGTTCCCATTTGCGGGCCATTTGCTGCAGC